GTCGAATGTCTCAGGAGAGTATGAGAAGATCTTATCGGACAAGGTGTAGGCGATTTGTTGAACAAGAAGTTGGCCGGTGACATACGTAGGGCCGGATATCGAAGACAAGGATACGGGTTGACCGAAAGGCAGAGTCGACGACTGCCGGGTGAACTCGGCGCGGGAGGTTTTGGATTCCGGCATGGTTACTTGATCTGCTAGAGGACCACCACTACCTTCGGCCTGTTTTAATTGCATTCTAACTGGTTCTCTCGGGCTTTTTGGAAGCCAGAATTTGTAGTAATAGGAATTTGAATTTGCGAATTCCTCCTGGAGACGAGGGTACGGTGAATTAGACCAGGCAAACCCGTCACGATTTAACTAAGATCGAGACAATTCTAAGAGAATGGAAGGTTTATAAAGAGGCTTATAATTTGAAATGGGCAATCAGACAAAAACCCCAGGTATGACTGATTGAATCCAGGAATAGCCACTCTCCTTCTCGACGAAAGAGCACGATGAATACTTGGCGTAGGGTACCAAATAGCCTCACGACCAGCACAAAAAAAGGGAGACGGCTTCGAAAAGGAGACGATGCGGTTTTATTACTTCTAAAAGTCCTCCCCGGGAAAAAAATAAAGGCTTAACCTACCTCCACGCCAAAGACGCTCCATACATTTCCGAATCCCATTTTCGCTTCTTCGCCAACCAGCGGTTCTCGGTGGTGAACCGGGCGGCGAACGTGCGGGTGTCGAGGGAAAGGATGGCGCGAATAATTTGTTAAATCGCATTTAGATTGCGAGAATGCGCGATTCGTCTTTGTACAAGATGATCACGCAATACAGGCCTAAACTTTAATTAGTTTAGCGCATAATCGCATGCCATATTCCACCATTTAGATGCCGCAATTGAACCCGGCAGCTGCTAAATGAGCTAAACATGCCTTATCGATTCCCGGTCCGACAGTAGTGTGGGTAGGGGTCTTGGTTCTAGAAATCTTCTTTTGGATCAGTACAAGCGAATGGCGACTCAAATAAAAAAATTCGATTGATGGCAACATCATTCAGCGTTCAGACGTCATTGTAGGTTCAATAGACGATAATTCCGATTACCGCTCGATTGATATTTACCTCGAGTTACCTTGCCAAAAGAGCCGGCAATAAACCTTTTAAGAAATGTTCTATCGGAATTTACTCTGTAGACCTACCTAGGTATCAAGTAATTACAGTTTGCTCCCGTCCCTAATTTGCGTATATGCATAATGCCAACCTTCTCCCTTCATGTCCTCTCTTACTTTATAGTTGTCTTCTGCAATCTTCAGAACATTCATATCCAGATCCACAATTGACATCCCCTCGGACCGGCCCATCTTCCCAAGGGAGCCAATATGGGGAACGCTGACTTGACTCAACCCCGCGAAGCTAGTCTTCTCCCCCTTTTCCGGCGGTCCCCCCGCATTCACGAACACAACCGCGCAAGTGTTCTCAAATGCCCGACTGACCACAGTGCTGTTCAAGAATAGCGCCTCACCGTCGGGATTAAGGGCATATCCCTCATCCGAAACGTCCTTCATACTCCAGAACGTAGGGACACAAATGATTTGCGCACCATCTGAGATTAGCTCCCGGAACGCCTCTGGGAACGCAATATCCCAACAAATCAACAACCCCACACGTCCTAACGGCGTGTCGAAAGCCACATGCGGTTGCTTAGCTGACGATACTAGATGGCGACGTTCCGGATGCCAGAGGTTTTTCTTCTGATATCGCCCGAGTACCTCTCCATTGGAAGATATGAAGTATGCGATATTATGTAAAGACCCGCCTTCCAACTCAACGATCGTACCAGGCACGATGCAGATGTTCAGCTCTTTGGCTAGCTGCTGATACTTTTCCAAGTATGATGCCGAGTCTGCACACGAATCCTTAAAATTCGGCTCATCCGGAACCCAAGAGGTAAGGTGGTACTCGGGTAGAACAGCTAAACTGCATCCTTCCTTAGCAGCATCTTTGATGAACGACTCAGCCTTGGCAAAGTTCTCTGCGGGGACGAGGGGCTATAAAAGAGTAAGCAATTGAGATCTTGGAAAAATATCGCAAGTATAATGCGGCCTAGTTATAATAATTTATTCAAGACAATCATACTCATCCCCCATACGGGGTCCATTTTACCTCCCGACAAATCTCATTAAAACCATTTATATAGGAGAGGTAGCACACCTTAGGATGAAGCTGGATGAGAGCTACTTTATGAACCGGAGCCATTTTCAACTGTTATAAGTTGCTTAGGTATTGGTATTGCAGGTTTGGGTTTCCGGGTGCATTTAATTGGTTTTATGAAAGATGGAGATAAACCACCTGCCGTCAACGGTCATGGAAGACCAAAGTACCACGATGTTATGTAATCACCGCGTTTTACGAATAAATATTCCGTACTAATATCCACCTTTACATTCATACACCTCTTCCACACACTCGCCTGTCTCTTAAAAGCCTTTCTATTTGATAGTTGCAAAACTCAACAATAACGATAAATGGTTAATATAGTCTCGATTTCAATATTTAGGTCTTTGAGCACTACTATCTTCGATACCCCTATTCAAAATCGCTTAGTCTCGTCCCCGGATAAGATGATACCACCCATTGATATATGCCAAGCCTTGATTAGGACCACCGTGGTTAATGGGAAATACGACTGACGGCGCGTGCGGTGGTGAGAACAAGTATAGTTGTAATGTGGTGTACAGAAACTGTTGTAACATGGATGGGCGATGCGGATCTCTTTCATCAGACTGTGGAGAGGGAAGCGTTTCTCTTGTATTAGGTGTTGACATAGCTACCTTAGGTAGGTAGTGGTGGCAATCAAGCCCCGGATTTATGATACACTATTATAAAAGGGTAGGTAACAATCAGACTCGGTGAATTTTAATCATGTGAGTTATGATAAACAAAGCAATATTCTTCTCAAATGCATTAGAGGTGGCTCACAAGATACGGAATTTGCGCATGTCTCTGTGAAATATCATTTAGAAAGGCTTTGCAATAGCCAGACACACAGCATATATATTCTATCCAATACCCTAAGCCTCCCTTAATATGCTAGAATGCTATATGAATCTATGTTAGGTTTCTCCATGACATGACCCGCACACAGAACATATCTGCTATCCATACTTCTCTTACGTTATCTATTATTTCACCTTCCACGCTACCGAATTCGAAGTTTAGTTCGTATAGGACATCCAGTATGCCCCCTAGTGTTGTTAACTGTACAGGCGATATCTCGAAATATTCTCTACCAAAACAGTAGAATCTCTGGGGACCTGGATTGCAGTTGTAGTTTTCTTCTGTGAACGATTGAAGTCCTAAATGCGAATCATCCCTGTCGTACGTCCAGCTCTCTTTGCGAGCTTCAAGTTTTGCAAGTTGTGCAGGGTCAACCACAAGGTACACCGCTTTCATCCAAGGAAAGTTTTTCAGTACGTTGAGGACGTAATCCAGGTAGGATAAAGATACCCTGCTCCCGTTCATTGGTAGAGCGACATAGCGTACTGCTGCTTGTGTGAGGAATCCGTAACGATGAATATGGCGCAGTGCCATGCGGTCCCAATAACCATCTAGAACGATGAGGTCTGATGACGTGTCAAGAGTGACACCAGGGAAATCGTATGTGGGGGGGTTGTATAGGGTTGAGCCCATTATGGCATCGTTGGGCCAAGGTATGTAATGCGTCCGGGAAACAGCCAATTCCAAGAGGCGAGTATGCTCGTGTCTTTGGCGATAGCGGATCGCTGCCTCCCGTGATCCTCGGCAGGTTTGCAACAATGTATCTATATCGTTCCAAGGAGGTAACGTGGAAGGGAGTTCACGTGACGGAAGCGTGCGTTTGAATATGATTTTTGAATCAACTTCCGGGTCTGAATGATCCCCTTTCGGATCTTTTATTTCCTCAAGCCTAAGGTAGTAAGCCGTGGGTAGTCTCGATTCTAGGACCAGGGTCCAGATTTTGTCTTGAATCTTCTGTGGGAGGCCCGAAAAGGACGGGAAGTAGGCTCGAGGATACATCTTGGATATGATAGATTTAGAGTAGCGAAATACGTTCCATGATGAGTAACTCTTAGTCTTTTAGTTGCCGATAACGATGTTCTTGCAAACACAAAGGGGATATGTGTTCAGTTTATTTCTCTATTCGTCTGGGTAAGCTTCATAGGTTGGGGTCGCCGTGATGGTGAAGTAAAGGTTCTTGTACTTTTTCTTAGAACCGTTGTGGTGTGCTTAATATCACGGTGTCGGGACTAAAGCTTGGAACCCTCGAAAATGATGTTGTAAGGAATAGAAAAAAAAGAAAAAGAAATTGTAGGATGATGCAAATTATTTTATGCTACTTTAAGGACCGTTAGCAGCTGCTGTGCAATTGACGTTTAGGAGGTTATATACGCTGCAGGTACACTAGTGGCTTGCCCGCCTGCGCAAGCGCGTACGGGGGAAAGGGGGGGAAAAGGAAAAGGGGGGGGGGGGAGGAAAAGGGGGGGGAAGGGGATCATGCGCAAAACCAACGCTACAGCTAAAGTTTGGCCTCTAATTAGCTAGCCACACCTCAACGCACGTCCGATAAACTTTTTATGAAATCAATTAAACTATTTCAATATTGTATAAAAGGTTTAATAATTAGTATTGTTAGATAGAGCTCGTTTTGCGTGACTTTTCTACACTATTCGCATATATTTCAAACGTTATGCGATAAAATGGTAAAGGAAAATGTCGCCAACTACGAAGCGATTCTAAGGATCTAATTGGTTGGAAAAATTGTGGCGGTACGAATAAAATATAGTAGAGTAGATGGGTACTATAGTCAAACAACTCATGTTACGTGACTCAAGTGTCCACGTTACAGTTGCCGTAGTTAGTGGTATCACGGATGGAAGGTACGGGAAATGAGTCAAGGTCTCGATCGAGGAAAGCACAATGTGTACGTCCACGTAAGTGTTTCATTTATATAGAAAGACCTTCACTCCCACAACTTCCGATTCATAGTTCGGACAAGGAATACCCTCCCCATCACCTAGGGAAAAAAAAAATATAATGCAAGCACTTACTACTATTTTCACAGCGCCATCGTGGTGCCTGACTAGGTTTGCCGTATATATCGACAATAATCCCTTTCATTCCAGTACCCTATCCCCTACAAGAGGATGGGCCGATCCGTCGTTCTCAAAATGTGTGCCAAGCCAGTATACCGATCAACTACAAACCCTTAGCCCCGGCGTGTGTCCGAATTATATGAGCATCGCAAGATCCGTCTACAACGTGAATGATGGCAAAACTCTCTGGACTGGAGGATGTTGTCAAAGGTTCAGACGCTCTAATTCCTAGGTGACAGCGTATCTAACAGGTAGTTGTAGCGGGTTCTCCGACATGTCCGGGTATTTCTGTACCTCTACCGTCACTACGCCCATGGCATTTCTTCTCTTGCCGAATATTACTACAACGGACATCTATACCACACTCTCTGATATGTGGATAGAGCATGAACAGATGACCGTTGAGTGGCAAGAGACCGATCTAAAGAATTTCCCACAGGAGATCATCACGGATTACAAATCAATCATGGGAATCACGCTCGCTACTATTACGGATAAAAGTTCTACCTCGACGGTTACGACTCATTCCGTTAGTGGAAGAACTTCGAGCACAGTAGCAACGTCAACATCAACTACCACCGTTCCTATACTTACCGTTATTCCAATAGATGATACATCAGAGCCTACGAGTGGACCAGTTGAAACGCATGCTATAACCTCCACACATACTCCGTCGTCGTCGGTATCTTCAAGTGGTGGTGTTGTGCATCCATGGCGGATTTCAGTTTTATTGACCGTGTGCTTGGTATGTTTCTGGATAGTGTAGCGGCTGAAGAGTGAATGCGAGAGGGTAATAGTAGGTACTTGTAGTAGGTGGGCAAAGATATGTCTCCTTGAAAATGCAATGGTTGATAACCTAGCTACTTCAACTTAATCCAAAATGCCTCAATTTATACGATCAGTCAAGTAGCATTTCACCTAATCCTAAATTCTACATTAATTCTGAGGCGATTTGTAGGTACGTATGAATTACACAGTGCGAAGTTATTGGCGCCTTATCCTTCCCCCTTTTGAAGTTCTCGCGTAAACAAAACGCAGAACTTCCAGCACACATTTGGTATTTGTGATGTGAACTTCACTCTAATTATCCTGTTGAGAGAAGCCCTGGAAAATTAAGAATTAGGTACTTTTATACACTCGGCACGACTTGTTTAAAAGTGAAGGCTTGACACCCCGACTGCGCCGACAAAAATAACACTGCAATGTTAATTTCATTAAGAGCACTTTGTAAAGATGGGGTTTACAATATCAATGAAGATAAATATATATTTTATTGTGTAGAACACAAGGAAAAGGCATGCTGTTTCTCCCCGGTTAACCACAGTTCTGGATCTGGTTGCATATCGAAGGATTCACGATGCACGACGAACCGAAAAAAGTACACAACGATAAGCAACGATTAAGAATTGCATCTCCCATTAAATATGCAGTAATCAAGAGCAAATACTTGTCATCTTTTAATCCTCGTATTTATTATCAAATGACATATATCCTCCAGTTGAATTCGCTACTATTGGTATAGACGCAGCAATTGTTACTACACCGGATAGCCAAACACGCGCCTAGGAGGCTTGGACCTCTTGGAAGTTTCTCGGGCTGAATCTTAGATAGTTGATGACTTTAATGTTTAACCTATATTGGGAATTATACTACGCCATACAGATGTTACAAAATGATGGCATCTCACATCGGCTTGAATACGAAATATAGACTAGAAATGACGAAATTGAAGGAAGAAGGGGCGTAACACATTGTCATAATCATTCAAGCTTTCACGATGGTTTTAATCACACGTAAAACTCAGAAGTAGTGTAGTAGATACCAAGCCTATCTTGGGTTATTTGGGTATATTTATTTGCTATCACTCGCGTGTAATTTCAGACCTCAAACCGAGGCAGGACCGTGCCCAACGACTCTTCGCGGTATTGTTGGGAGGCAGCGGAGGCCATCACGGCTCTCTAGATGAATCGGAACTGGCCGTTGTCGTTGCTGATTCGCTCTCCGAGGTTGACGTCGGCGCGAACCCACTCGCCGTCGAGGTTCTGTAGCTCGGCTCGTAGGACCGGGACGCTGTCGCCTCCCTCGATCTGGAAGGAAATATCTCTAGCGGTCTCGGAGAAGTCTGTTATATTAGTAAGATGGGAAAGTCTGGTTAGGATATAGGTAGTTCGTCGCTACTTACTGACACCACCCCAGTCGAAGCGGCCTGTTGAGAATGTATTAGTATCTAATAGCAGAGAGGGATCAACTGATTGTGGTGAGGTACTCACCATTGTCGTTGCCGATGAACTGGTTTAGGTCGATCTCGCTGTCGACATTGTTACCGTCTTCGGCTCGGAGGCGGGCTCTGAGGATGTGGCCGTTATCCACGCGGATGTCTTCAGAAGAGATGTAGAAGTTGGACATTTTGACGAAGTGTTCGGGAAGTTGTCGTGAGGGTGTAAGTTGGTATGGGTTTGGTGTTTGGTGTTTAGTTCTTGTATTCTCGGGCAAGACGCGGGGGGAGGAGGTTTGCTTATATAGGGCTGCCTGCTTAGGAGGTAGTCACTACGTATTGCACGATGCTGTGGTACAATACAAAACTTCTTTGCTGTAAGCTCCAGCTTCCATGTAACTCTAAACGCGACTACGTTAGAAGTGATGCAGACCCTCGTACACGTGTCACGGCAATGAGCCCCACAGGTAGCTCTCTTGTGGACTCGAGGGGGGGGGAGTTACCTTGAGAGGGGCACCTTCACAAAGCGGATATACGGCCATGGTGGTTTCACACCAATGCGGGTGGTATCATTATTCGGTTACGGCACGGAACGGTGGAGTTGATGGTTGCGGTGCCCACGTCCCACATTATCATCTCCTCCTGAATGTACATCTCAGTGCATCTCAGGGTTCTCATAGGCCCGACGCCAAGAGATTGGCACATGAACTTCCACCAACTCCTCCCTTTGTCCCTCCATCCCTCCTCCATGCCTCCTCCATCCCATATCTTTATATCCACTACTCGATAGTTCGTCTCTTCTGATCAACATCATAAGAGGTCGTTTTTATTGAATTTTGTCATTGCGGTGAATAATTAGATGATCTTGTTGACTTGTTGTCACTACCTAATGAACGAGCGGTCTAGATCGACTAGTCGTTATACTATAATTCTTAGGCGGCGAATTGAGGGACTTTTTAGAAACAATTAGAAACAATACACTAGACTCCTTTCCCACCGCCCATTTAGCAAACAGCTGGAATCCACTCATGCTACCACGCACATCGTATGCGGTACCACAACCTTCGTAGTTCTCGAGGCGGGGTTTTCTCCTATGCGCTTCACGTCAAGCACCATAGCTTCATAGCTGGGCGAAGTCACGGCATAATACGTGTCACGTAGCTTAAGGTCTGGATTCTTCAAGACCCCTGTATTCATCTAGTTTTCATTATGCTCGGTCACCCAATCCTAACCTCAGAATCCATCAGCTCGCGAGATGCGGACCGTACGATGGGGACTCCAGGCCCCGCGGTTGCTTCCATCCATGAATATTCGTCATACCCAGCCAACCGGGACAGGACCCTTGTGAGCATCCTAGTCATTGAGGTAGCCTACTTACGAAATACACAAGAATGACTAACGGTTTGTTCAATTTTAGAGACGAATTGATGACTTTAAAGACAGCAGTTATACGTTTTGGGGCTGGAAAGGAGCCCCCAAAAGTAGCATGCCATACAGCGGCAAAGACATGTCGTGTCTCTATATATATTACGGCCAAACCTAAGTCACAAGGTAGGTAGACAGACTATCCCCTACCGAACGATGCTTGAACGAACGCACACGCAGGGGACTATCTTCTCATCGTAGCGATTCGAACTATATCAAAATAGGACACCTAGGTTTAGAAAGGAATTCACGATGCTAGCAACTGCTCATATTATACGTAGTAAATGGCTGTAGCACGTATGCCGTTACATTAACTCAATGCTAAGGAAACGACAAGCAGCAAAAGTTGCCATACCCCTTATCAAAGAAATAAAATCAAATGTAAAACGCCAGGGGTAATTAAGTCCTAGATACCTCATACCTACCGTGTACGCCTTTTGAGGTTATATAGAAGATGATATAAACAAAAGGCTCTAGAGCACTTGGCCAAAGTCCTTATAGGGGACACCGAAGGATTCTCGCGCTTTGCGGACCGCACCCTTAAACTTGTCTAGAGGGATGCTCCTGTCTCTTCCCGGCAAGCTAATAATGGAATTCTTCCCATCGACACACCATGTTATGTGTTTCTGGAGGCTTTCCTTCATCCAGAATGCGTATAGCCTAATAAATGACTGCTCTTCCAGCAGGTCGAACAATAGATTGAATGTTGCATCCGATTGGGCCAAGCTCTTGGTGATAATATTTGCTGCAGCATATCCGATGTCCTCCTCTGGATGGTTTAGCATAGCAATGAGGTCTTGAAGCATCGCTTCTGGCAACACTGGCTGTAATCCTAAGAGGGATGATAAATCATTGAGAACCCTAGCTTCGAAATTGTTCAACTGCAGCGTCATAATTTGCAAAATCTCTTTTGACAGAACAGACCGCTGCCGGGCGAAAATTGAAGCTACCGCATCACGGGCGTCCTTATTTGAATGGTTGAACAGACGCGCCAACTCTTCAAGGACACTGTCTAACGAATCCGGCTTTCGGTTGCAGAAGAACGCTACCACAGCATCTAGGATTTTCCCGTTCGCTGAGGTTTCCTGGTTCATAACCCCCAACAAGTGGACCATCTCCTCAAGAATACCGTCCGGTAGATTCGGTATCCTCTCCATGCTTCTTATCAAGCGATACTGGACGGGGTAACTAGGATGGCTCAGTAGACGTATCGTATCTAACACGATCTCAGGCATCACGACGAACTGTCGCACCAATTCGGGCCTCATCTTCTTAATAATATTCTTAACGCTTGATTCGTCATGGTGCCGTATATTCGAAACAACCTTGCGAAGAACTTCCCTAGGTAGGGATGATTGCTTGCTTAGAGCCTGCATTGCAGTATACTGGATGTCTATGCTTTCACAGTCCAAAAGAACTGCTAATTTTCTAATAATCATTTCCGGGAAGGTTAATCGAATAGACAACAATACATCAGTTATCATCTTCTGTAGTCTTTCATCTTCGACTTGCAACAAGGCTATGAGTTGTTGAAGAATACTATCCGGCATGGATGATTGAGTCGATAGAATAAGTTCCTGGTCATGTAAACGTGTCCTTGGATCTTTGAATTGGTCTAATATAGTCTGTAGGATTTGTTCTGGTAGAGAGCGCTGACTACGTAAGGCTTTTGTCGCAATCCGTCGTTTCCTTGGATTATTTAGTAAACTGCCTATTCTCTGAAGAATGGCCATCGAGAATTTGACGTATTGCGACGCCAAGATACGAGTTGCGGCGGATTGGATGCCTGTGTCATGGTTCTCCAAATAATCTACCATCTTGTGGATGATGTTTTCCGGCAGGTCTTCATTGAAAGATAAAACGAGTCTTGCGCCATCAGACAGGTCGGGCTCCTCAAATATGCCCATGATTTTATGAAGGAGATCTGGATCTTCCTTCAGTTTGTAGCCACAAAAGGCATATGCAACATCTTTTCGGACCGTACTATTTGGGTCCTTCAACATGTTCAGTAGCTTTTCTACAACTCTGGGCGCAATGCGGCCCGATTGTTTAGCTGTTATCCACGGTCGAGCCTGGGCTCTTTTATCCCATAGTATTACCCTTGGTTTTTTCAATCGTCTCCTTTGGATCAAATCCAGCATCTTTAGGACTATATGATCTGATAGACCGCCTTGATTTCTGAATATCTTCATTATACTTTTCGTATTGGCCACATCTAGATCTGGTATAATAACCACCATCTCTAGGAGAGTCTTCTCCGGTATTAGAGGCAAAAGTTCTAAGAGTGTAAGTGCAAAGAACCGTGTGCTCGTATCCCCTTGATTCACGTATACGATTAACTCCGAGAAAGTCGCCTCTGGTAAGTCTGTTGCTATCAACAATATAGCGCTCGCCAATTCTTTGATGTATGGGTCAGAATCCTCTATTAGGTTTGTTATCGTATGAAAACAGTTACCCGGTAACGTATACTTGCAAGATAAGAGCACCTGAAGAGCTTTAATTATCAATTCTGGGTCGCTACTTTCACAGTACTCGGTAACTTTGTTAACCGTATCTGATGAGATTATAGGGCGCTTTTGCAGCACATCTAGAACAATGCATTGCAACGACTCATCATCCGTCGCCGACAAGCATTGCCGCAGCATCTTCTCCGGATATTCAACACCAAATTCCCATTCGGAATGGGTCTCTCTCGTGAATCTCAGTCCGAATAATAGCCATTCGCTTAAATGATATTCCAGGTTGTCGCGAAGATAGAAATCCGCGATCTCCCTTAGTTCCACAACTTCTTCGAGGCAATGTAGAACAAGACGATGATGTGTGAATCCGAGGAGGTCGTATGGCTCTGTCTCGATTATTTCAAAGAACTTTTTTGCGTCCCCCTTGGCATGAAGCAGACCAGTAACAAAACGCCACATGATGTCAAAACGCGGGTTGTATTTCTCTCTCCGGAGAAATTCGGCGGTGCTCATCCCCAACTGCGGTAGCTGCCTGTCCGGCCAGTGCTGCACAAAGTACTGCGCTGCAAAATATTCTTGGAAGGTCAGATGTAAGAAGTGGTAGCTGTTATTCTTCGCTGCGCTACTGCGGTCTGAAGTGCGAAGGAACGAAAATTCCTTGAAGTATATTGAAAATACGTCGTATTTCGGTTTGGCGAGATATTCCGTTAGGTCATTCTGCCTATCCAAGAAATTTTCCATGTATTTCGAGTCAAATTCCTCCGTGCCTCTAATGATTGCATCAAATGCGAGGGCCTGCAGCACGTTAACTTCTCCTTGAATCAAATCCCGAGTTTCCTTCAAATTTAACTGCACGGCCACCCCCTTGGTAATCGTCTCTAGCCGGCCCTGAAGTCTCTTTTCTAACCGAACTACGTCCTTCTTCCATATAATACTCTCGGTGGCGTTATAGAGCTGGGTCATAGTTCGCGGTCCTTTGCCTTTATCTGAAGCTTCTTGTTCGAAGCTATAACAGAAGGCATCGAGCTGTATTGGGATCCTTGCTAGTTCTTCAACTCTTGGATGGTTACTTAGAAATGACTGGATTGTTTTTGCATTGTCTGGGGCCACGGCTTCGATATACTGAGATACCTGCTCATCGTAGAATCCAATGGTTTCGAATTCCCGATCAATATTTTCAATCGCGATTTGGCGAACAGCGTACGGCCGCGTAGTAATGATCACCCGAGTTTGTTGTAAAAGTGACAGTAACAATTCGGACTCGCCTGAAGATAGTTCTTGCAATACTTCATCTAGCCCGTCAAGGATAAAGAGAGTCCTACTTCCCTCTTTGGAGATCTCATCATGGAGCGCCTCAACAAGAAGCTTCCCATCCTGAGAGTTATTACTGAAATAACGCTCGAACAAGAGCCGTTGAATGTCATATTTCTGCATGTCTTGGCCTTTGAGCTGACGCAAAGGTAACCAGATGACTCTATTGATGATTTCAGACCACATCTCGTTGTAAATGTGGTCATAAACGATCTTCTTACAAAGTGTGCTCTTGCCCACTCCAGCCTGCCCACGAATGAGCACCCGTCGGTAATCAACTTTATTTGCTAACAAGATTGTTAATAAAAACACCATTAAACATCCATGTGTAGCTGGGGATAGTGGTATGTTAATTAATGATGCAAAACAAGAAACCCACCTTTCTCAGCATCCTTTTGCGGCCGGAAGAGGTCTACTAGCGAGACACGATCCGACTCATTGGGTTTCCAGATAGCTAGACGGCGATGGAATAACAATGAGGACGGTTCGATACCCCTATTTTCTTTTTCCTCCTGTTGTACAATGGCCAAGTTGATATAGCACTTTTCCATGGGTAACCTATGGTTAGTACCAAGTCGTTCAATATTGAGCCGCTTGACTGTCTCATTAGTATAGTAGTTGCGTATCATTTGATCAGCGTAAAATACTTTAGCTTCATGGCAAGTAGGCCATGCCTTCTCCAGCAGCACATTTCCTGGTGTTTGCGATGGTGTTTGCTGGTATCCCAGAGTAGTATGGTATTCCCGCGCGAGGTGTAGCTTAGAGAGCAATCGCTTAGGCATAGAGAGTTTTGTTGACTTCGCAGGCCCAGCTACCAAATCGACCCATCCATGGACACGCGCAGACTTAGATATGGCGCGTTGATCGGTCAAGAACCCTCTCAGGACCTTAATAACCTCGCCGTCTGCTTTATGGTGGATGGCCTGCTCTAGAAGTGCACAGAGCCCACATAAAAAGTCTTCGTCTTTCCTCAATGATGGCTTGAGGCTCTCAAGTAAAGATCCGAGGAGGACGTTCCTTCGTCCCCGGATTATCAAGTCCGTAAAGCGAAGCGCTACATACCATTGCCTCGGACTTTTTAGGTTTTGGACACCCTTATTTATATCCCTTATGCTATTGACCTCATCAATGACGTCTGTTATCAATTTCACCATATTCGCTACTTCGCCTAGTGCTTCCAGGCCTTCCAATAATTTATTAGGGTCCAAGGTCCCGACAGAGCCAGCAATTGCGGCACCACCCTTGATTACGTTCCATACACTTTTGGCAAGTTTTTCCCATGGGCTAACGTCGCTGTGGATGCCACGCAAGGCCTGTTTTGCATATCGTGCTGCCTGAGAGAGACGCAATTCAGGGTGCCCGCTCACATTTTCCAGCAGGTCGAATAGGGGTTGCATGATTTGGGTGTCGCTGATACCTTCGAATTTAACTTCGTTCATAACATCTAAAATTGTTGACAAGGTGCGCAGTAATACATATTGGGTCACGTCATCAGCCGCCGAACAAGCCGTCGTGAGCCGGTTTGTAAGGGACTGAATAGCATATCCAAGCGGAAGTTTCTGTCCAATGTGCTCGACCTGAGTTGAACGTAGCATAATGCTAAAGGAATTCAGAACGTTGATGTCCGGAATACCGCTCCCACTTGAATCGGCTGCGACGGAATTGGCAAAGGCATTGAACAAAAGGGCGTAGCTCTCCTCATTGCAAAATGGGGATAACAAGGCAGCCTCGACAGCATATGATCGTTCTGGATTATTGTAAAACGTTTGTACCATAGAGTACAATAGTGAACGAAGTGCGGTAGCTTCCCGATTGCGTTCCGAGGTCGGTCTCTGCCTTGCAATCGTCGGGTCGTTATCCACAGCCTGGTTATCCAAGCCGAGTTCTAGTCTCTTTAAACGTTCAATGAGTTCCTCCGTTGTTCTTGGCCTAGATAAGAGCTCCATGGTTGTCGTACTAGTATTCACCTAAAGTTATATTAACTATAAGAGATAATAAATTTCTGATAACTGAAGTGATAGAAAGGTTGAAATCACCTCCTATCTTAGGCTGTTAGAGAGTCGGGGAAACGCCGTAAGGCACCAAAACTCTACCCCGGTTTCAGCTATAACCGATAATATGCAGTGTTACCACAAGCTAGCAAGTGCGACTGTACCGCGTGTCCAATCATATTGTCACCAGGTTAAACTCTATACCACATCGACTATTTAAATATAATAAACTGAACACTACTTCCTAAGTACCTTATACACCCTCCGCAAATCACAGCCTACCCGATCCTAAGATACCCATCCACCTACCACCATTCGACCCAAGTCATATTCCCGTAGAAATAAAGTAAACAAAACAAATGAAAATACCATAATTATCCTTAGTTACTACGGCACGTAAAAGGTGAAGTGGAGGCAGTTGTTCTTACTAGCCACATCCGGCACTCCACTTCCCCCCTTAATGTACGCCTTGCCCTGTCCCAGCTTCTGGTACTCCCAATCAATAGCCGCCTGGTTTCCCGGGCCCTTCCAGTTACCCTCGGTACTAGCAAGGGTCTTCTCGCCGTTGGGTTTCTTGTCAAGCGCAGCCGCCGGCGCATCTTTGAGGATGTCCTCGGTAAACCCGTTCGACGCGTTGGTCCCATCCGTCGAAGCAACGGTAGCGGCGCCGTCGCACCCCTGCTGGATCGAGATATCGCCGTGCGCACGCCCGTCGTCGGCGGCTTTGACTTGGAACTCGCCCCATGTGGCGGGCTGCTGGTCTCCGCGCTGCACGCGGCCCTTGAACTCGAGCTTCAGGGGTACGTGGACGGTCTGGTTCGGCCCCACTTCGACGTCCGTCAGCGGGTGGTCGAAGTTAGCGCCAGCCTCGCCGTTGCCGTTCCAGTAGTTGTCGTAGAAGAAGTACCTATGCGCTTTGCCGGACTGATTGGTCAGGAGGATACCGGGGCCGGAGGAGCTGGCGGTCATGGGCTGTTCGGCTAGTCCTCCAGGGGCTGCAGCGAATGATACAAAAGAGGCCGCTTCGACGAACTGGCTAGCGAACGGAATGTTAGCGTCGGGGGCAGCATTACCATCCTATGTATTAAGTGTTAGTAAAAGGCTAATAGTATGTAGTTATTCTATCATGATATTGTCATACACTGTAAATAATTAGAATGTCCTTGCTACCGTTACCGGCCTTGCTCTGCTCATTATCGTGAGGGTTTCCATTATTGGGCCCCCTATAAAGTTGTTAGCAGTGGATAGTTTACGCTATACAGTATAGGTGCATAATAGAACTTACCACGCGCCAACACCGATATAAGTTCGTCCATCAGCAAAGGTCCTCACGAACTCTTCCAGGGGCTGGAAGTCCTTCGGAGCCCCGATGCGTTTGACGTTGCCATTGCCATCGAGGAAGACATGGCCGTTAAGCTGATTCTTCTTATCCTGAGAGAGCTTATGGTAGGCCGCGTTGCAAGCCTGCATAAAGGTCTCGTGGCCTTTGAATTTTCCAGCTGGGTCACCGACCTGTTGGCAAGTCATGTTTCCACCAGCGCCGCAGATGTTACTAATGTCGATTGTGTCGTTTCCCATCCAGCCGTGCTTGGTGATCTCGCATTGCTCGCCGATAACTCCCTCGTGGATGGCGATGATGGCCCCAGAAGAACCATCGGGAGCCTCGAGCTTGGCTTGGCCGTTTGCTGGGATCTTTAGCTGCTGATTTCCATTGTAGCCATTACACTGAAAGATCTGCTCGTGGTTGGATCTGTTGTGAATAATGAGGAAATGCATATCGATTAGAGTACTGAGTAGAGTCACTTTTATATATAGTTGACTTGTCTTGTCTTGATGCTATGAAGAGATGTTAGTTAGTTAGTAGGGAGATATGTGATAATTTATATTCCAGAGGTCACCAGCTGCCTACAATCATCCCCTACTTTTGACAGCCTGCTCGGGCTGAAAATATTCAATTCGCACAACGTGATCAATCTTTGGACAGATCCATGATACAGGATCGGCTGTGAGCTAGACTAATCGAACTCTTCCCCTGTAGCCACAGCGTAGAGACAAAGTCCTATGGTAAACATTGTATTGTCATATGAATATCTTTCGTAGTCATACGATACAATACTACGGTGAGGTTAGGACTTGAAGGCTTCGCCGCGAAGTAATGTTGGTGAGATCTAAGCTCTTATGATGTAATTGGCGGCTGGCCACTATTATTACTCTGGTTAACCAACTAGAGTTGTAACCCAAAAAGGTTGACGAGGTTATACAATACAAATAAAGCTTTCTAATTTTGCATAGCCTTGCATATGCTAGGGGGTGGCTAAGTACAAAACAAGCCGCACATTTTTGTCAGTCTCGTGCTGATCCTATTCCCCAAACTGTTATACATAGAAACTCGAACTATTGAATATTCAATAATAAGCTGACGGAAAAAAGGACTTTTGCGCTTGTTACCTTCTCGTAGTTTCAATGCCAAGTATTACGTCAACTTAACCAATTACTCTTAACTAAACTAACTTAAGTCAAGTTACCTAGTTATCTAATATGCTTATGTTGGCAGGTAAGATTTACGACGTTAAGAGATACACTATTTTCGAAGTCAGCATGATCATACCTCGAACTGACAACTCGATACAAAGCTTGCAACCAAACGTAATACCAGAAACAAGTATACGTATAAGCCTCAGTTACGTTAGGTCATCTAACACAGGACTATTCCAAATTTTACCAGACTCTTCTAACCAACAAGCCAATATAGCTAATTAAGCAGTGTAGTACAACTCAAATAATTGACTGACCTAGGCAATACGCCGTAAGGGTACCGTCGGTGTCTTCTTTATGTCAGCGTGAGGTGTGTCTCCGCCTCACCTCAGCCCGGTGTAGGGGCTCATAATAAGCTGGTATGGTCACCTCTTCCCTAAAAGTTAAATATATATAAGTTCCTCTCCTTAGCTGTCTACTCTGTCATAATAAATCAAAACAAGATCAGAGCAACCTGAATCCCCTCAGATTTCCGAACTTATTATTTTTCTATAACTAGCAACTTTTTCGTCTATCTATTTTGACAATGGCTATCAAGAAGCGTCAGATTCTCTGGGACTATACCAACACGGATATCCCTGACAAGATCAACCAAGTACCTTTCGGTGGTAACAGCCCAGTTGCCTCCGTTGTGAATTGGAATACATGGGTACCCCCTGGGCTCAATGATCGAGCACCATTCCGGCCTATGGTCCGTGTTCTCGAGAACACGAAAGGCGGCGAATGGGCTCAGATACAAAACTCAAAGTACCCCATTATCCTTTACTTCAACGAGCCCGAGCGCGCCAATATAAGCCCAGAACAGGCGAGGGATATCTGGTATGGCCAGATGCTCCCCCTGAGGAAGAATAAGGGGAAGCAACTCGGTTCCCCGGCCGTTGCCTCTGTATGTGCCCAAATCGAGTTCTTATATTGATTATTAACCGAACTAATAATCCTCAGGATGAAAACGGCCGCAAGTGGATCGAAAAGTTTATGTCCCTTGTGTCAAGCGACCCTCCTGACTTTCTGTGCTTGCACTACTACTCAACCAATCCCAACGATGCCATTAAGTATATTCAGGACATGCATAACAAGTGGCCTCAACATAAAGTCGTAAGTCTAACATCACCGAACGTGAAGCCTCTTCCGCGACTAACATATTTGAAGATGGTTACCGAAATTGCGTGCATCGACCGCAACTACCAGGCCGTCGTAGACTTCACTGTCCGTATCTGCAACTGGCTAGACAGTCAAGACTGGGTCTTCGAATATGGTCTCTTCGATTTCCAGCGTAAGGTTGCCGACGGTTTTGTTAGTCCCGTCGCCCAGCTCATGGATGCAAACGGCAACTTTACGGAGCTAGGTAAGATGTACGTTCATCAGCAACCCATGAAGGCACCCGGTGTTGCTGCCAATGCCTTCATCTCATTGAATGCTATCGAAGAGAATGGTTCGCAAGCCGAAGTGAGCGATGGTGAGAAAGCCGGAGAGCCGTTATCTCACGAACCCAACGGTGAGACTGCCCAAGCCACCGATGCCACCGAAAATGGTGGACTAGTCCAGTTCAGCATCGCAGCAGCTCTTAGCCCAGATCAACAAAAGGCTCTAGATATCCACAATAACAAGCGGAAGGGCAAGGGCCTCAAGCCCCTCGCATGGGATAACCAACTTGCCAAAAATGCCGAGGATTACGCAAAGCATCTCGCTCAGATTGGCAAATTGCAACACTCGAGTGGTGACCAGCGCCCCAACCAGGGTGAAAACCTTGCATGGTAAGATAATGAGCTCGTGTAATGAAAATATGAACATAGTCTAACTCGGACATCTCTACAGGGCTTCCAGTTCCAACACGCCTCTCGCCATGTCTGCAAACCTGTGGATCGCCGAAGAAAAGAACTACCACAATGAGCCGATCGGCCAGGGCGATTTCGGATCATACGGTCATTACAGTGAGTTTTTCTTCAACCATGCCGCCGTGTTCGCAACTCTTCTAACACATTTTTTTTTCCACCATTTAGCTCAATGTATGTGGAAATCGACTACCAAGGTCGGCATGGGCTCGGCCAAGGACGCCAAAGGTGGTGTTTATGTCGTCGGAAGATATTCTCCTCCCGGAAACTTCACCGGGCAGAAACCGTACTAGTAACCTCGTCGGCCGCTTGTCGTCTTGGCTCGGGAGTTGTCATGTGGATCTCGGTAGATTGGGCGGGTTTGTCGAATTGTTCTGGGGAGGAGGTTTAGCTTCTTTTCTCCCCCCTTTTTTTTTGTTTGTACATAGGTCTAGGATCACTCGTTATGTTAACCAACATGGTTTAAGTATGTATTTTGTGATAGGTACTTTTTTATTTTATATTTTTTATCGAGTACGGTTAGGTGAGTAACAAGTCTAACAATTATATAATCCAAAGATAGATCGCATAATCGGGCATGTAAACTCCGTCCCTTGTAAATTCTGGATGATGCACAATGAACAAAGATAAATTAAGCTTCATTAGCTCGTATAAGCAATTTCGGGACTCCAACTCTTGGCAGCCCTATTGCCGTATGTAGTTGGGGTAAACTGACGATCTAAAGTGCGGGGTGCATGAGTTGACCGAAGCAGGCAGGAGTTCTCCTGAGCCTCAATCCACCGCTTCCGTCTTGACTGACCTGCTGACTTACACGCCGGTGGCCTCGTTCGATACACCTCCCCCCTATCTCCAAGACATTCCCCACATTCCCCAAACTCTTTCGTCATTAACGCTACTTACCCCTGTTGCTCCCTCGCTCGTTCATGTAAGTCGCCATCCGGGTGCGGTAATGCCTGCATTGCCTGCATTGCCGGCTAATGTTCAAGGGAAGGACCGATTTGTTTCTTTTGTCTTGATGACCCCTCGCGGCAAGACCAGAGTTAAAAATGAATATTTCGTCTTTACATGTATGGTGTGCCATTCCTTTGGATCTAGATGACTATGCATTGATAATTTGTACTGTATTATCGAGTGTGTACACCATGTTGTCGACTTCTCTGTATGCCCTGGCTGGCTTAGCCGCTTGGGGTAGCGGCATTGGCACTGTTGCCCAGTCCATAATTGCGGATGACACGATATTCCATGGACAATCACCTCCAGTATACCCGTCACGTATGTTAAGCGGTACCCTAAGAGAGTTCGAACACATACTGACAATTTCAAAGCCAACGGAACCGGACTTGGAGATTGGGCAGACTCCTATTCGAAAGCACGAGCCCTCGTGGCTCAGTTGACACTAGAAGAAAAGGTCAGGGGTAATCCGGGGCGGCTCAAATGACTACTATATCTAACTTAGTATACAGGTCAACCTTACGGGTGGCGTTGAAGTTAACAGCTCTTGTTCTGGTATTATCCTTCCTATAGAGAGAGTTAACTTTACCGGTCTCTGTCTTAGTGACGCTGGTAATGGAGTGCGCACTACCAACTTCGCGTCGAGTTGGGCTTCGGGCCTTTCGGTTGGTGCAAGGTAGATTCATCATATTTCCTCAATTGAACATTTTAACCTCTCTACTTAGCTGGAACCGCGAATTGGCTTATAAGAGAGCCGTTGGCATGGCCGGCGAATTCCGAGCGAAAGGGGTTCACATTGCTTTAGGGCCTGTCGTCGGCCCCTTAGGCCGTATCGCGTCAAGCGGAAGGAATTGGGAAGGTAACGCGCTGTGCCTTACTTAACCAACAGTCCTATGTATTAATTACCTATTGTATAGGCTTCTCAAATGACCCCTATCTGAGTGGTGCTCTAGTTGCCGACACTATAAAAGGGATACAGTCAGTGGGAGTCGCAACAAGCACGAAGGTAGGGAGTACAGATGACCCTTCTGGACGGAATTGGCTAACACATACCCTTAGCACTTCATCGCCAATGAGCAGGAGACTAATAGAAATCCTGAGGGCAACGTTACCGCCGTTTCGTCGAACATTGACGACAAGACTATGCATGAATTATATCTCTGGTACGTACTACGGCGTAATTATACGAAGGGTCAAATCTAATTTCCTATTAGGCCTTTCCAAGATGCCGTAAAAGCCGGTACTGTAAATGTAATGTGTTCATATAACCGGATCAACAATAGCTATGGGTGCGCCAACAGCAAGACCCAAAACGGACTCCTAAAGACTGAGCTAGGATTCCAGGTATGAAATGCACAATTAGTTCTCACAGCATAAGTATCTGACCAAGTCAACAGGGCTTCATCGTCTCAGACTGGTGGGCTCAGCATTCAGGTGTTGCTACAGCACTTGCAGGTTTAGACATGACGATGCCGTGGGCCTCGCCGTATTGGTCCAGCAATCTAACAGAAGCTGTGAAAAATGGATCTGTTCCGGAATCTAGAATAGACGACATGGCAACAAGGTAAGTTCGTATTAAATACCCTGCTGTCACTCCTTTCTAATTGGCGTAGGATTATAGCTACATGGTATAAGATGGGCCAGGACGAAGGCTTTCCAGCTCTAGGTAAAGGAATGCCGTATGACCTCTCCAAGCCTCATCAGCGAGTCATTGCAAAGTCAGCAAGCAATAAGGATGTCTTATTGCAGGGAGCCGTCGAAGGCCACGTCTTACTGAAAAATACCAATAATGCGCTACCCCTCAAGTCGCCCAAGTTACTCTCCTTGTTCGGATACTCTGCGAAATCATTTGACGTATATACGCCTGGGGGTGGTGGCTGGAACGGAGGTTCACAGGCACTAGCGCCAGCTGACTTGATTCCAAATGGCGATGATGTACTTCATACGCAGATTGCTGCTAATGGTACGCTGATCAGTGGCGGCGGATCTGGCGCAAACATGCCAGCCTACGTCAGTTCTCCCGCGGCGGCACTGAGTCAACGTGCGTATGAGGACGATACAAGCCTATGGTGGGACTTTCACAGTGGTAGTCCTCAAGTTGACCAGTCTTCCGATGCTTGCATTGTTGTTGGTAATGCCTTTGCGTCAGAAGGTTTTGATAGGCCTGGGCTGCATGACGATTTCACGGATGCTCTCATTACCAATGTCGCGTCTCAATGCAACAATACCATCGTGGTATTCCATAACGCAGGTGTTCGCCTCGTCGATCAGTTCATCGACCACCCTAACGTAACAGCCCTCATCTTCGCGCATCTTCCTGGCCAAGACTCTGGTAGAGCTTTAACTTCAATCCTCTACGGTGATATCAACCCTTCAGGCAAGTTGCCATATTCGGTGCCGCGCAACGAGTCAGACTATGGTCCGGTTCAAAACGCGACTGCTCCTGACGGCATATATGAACTATTCCCACAGTCGGACTTCACAGAGGGCATCTATATCGACTACAGAGCATTTGATGCCAAGAATATAACACCTCGCTACGAGTTTGGCTTTGGTCTAAGTTATACCACCTTCGACTTTTCAGGCCTTCAGGTTTCCACAGTCGATGACGCCGATACTTCGTCGTATCCCTCAAAGCCGATCGTTGAAGGTGGTCATGAAGACCTCTGGGACATCGTAGCGAAGGTCTCCGCGACGGTGACTAACTCAGGCTCTGTACTGGGTGCCGAGGTAGCGCAGCTCTACGTCGGTATACCCAACGGTCCTGTAAAGCAGCTTCGCGGGTTCTCAAAGTCGGTACTTGAACCTGGAGAATCAGTAGTTGTCAATTTCGAGTTAACGAGAAGAGATCTGAGCACGTGGGATGTAGTGGCGCAGAAATGGCTCTTACAAAAAGGCGACTACCGAATCTTTGTTGGATCTAGTAGCCGAGCGTTACCTTTGACTGGATCTTTTTCAATCTAGGTAACTCTACTACTTAAATAATCCCCAGGAGCATTTAAGGGTTTTATATGGCTGTAACTCCTTTAAGGAAAGGGCGTATAGGCGAGGTTGAGTTAAATGATATATTTGACAAAATGAGGGGCAGCCAGTTATTCTAGCAAGGCAGTCAAACCAATAATCAATTTAATTTAATCGAACTTAATTTACTTTATATATATGATATTTGATCAGCTAACTTAATAACTTATTCTATATTTATTTACCTCCTAGTAGTATAAGGTCATCGAGTCCAAAGTGGCCATTCCAGAACCTACATCATAGGATCGGACAGGAAGGTGATAGCTAAGCTCACGGATTAGAAACAAACCCCCTGGCCTTCCCATATTAAATCACGTAACTATTATAGCACTTCAATCAATGTCTTGTACCGGATTCTTAGGTTCCTGATTCCTGTTCGTTCCGAATTATGGAACTCATTCTTCACGGAGAAGACAGGTTCGCTATGGATTCATCAAAAATGGCTAAACTGTAGAATTTTACAAGACTACCAGGGGATGCCGGAGAGCTTTGGGGGGATAACTCCTCGTTACCGGCTTGAAAGAATAAAAAGCACGAAATAATCCGATCGATAAGTTGATTTAATAACTTGCTATGTCTCGGATAGAAGTACTAGGTAGCAACCCTAGGAGGTATTTACCCAAATTTCATCTAGAGCCAGCTAACATCCCAACTACAGCAACTATTCCACCTAGATTCATCTAGCTACGACTAATACCGCCAGCTCAGCTAGACTTCTCTTTCGTATCCCGGAACCTATGGGACTTGTACGCCTCAGGGAGCGTACCACCCACGAACCCATTATTCTCAAAAAACGCCCTGACCTCCTTCTCCTCGGCATCGCTCAGCACCACGTTCTGCGAGTCCCAGTTCTGCTCCAGGTACCGGATCCTCTTGGTCCCCGGGATAGCAAAGACGTCGTCGCCCTGCTTGAGCAGCCACGCCAGCGCGAGCTGCGACACCGTGCACCCCTTCTTCTGCGCCAGGGCGCCGAACTGCGCGACGACCTGGGCGTTGCGCGCGCGGTTCTCGGCGAGGAACTGCGGCATGACGCGCGAGCGGGCGTCGCTTTCGCCTTCGCCGAAGGAGGCGGCGCCGTTCTTGCTGAAGTCCGCGGTGAGGATGCCGCGTCCTAGGGGGGTCGCGGCTACGACGGCGACGCCGAGCTCGCGGCACGCGGCGAGCAGGTTGGTGCCTTCGGCGCCTTCGATGTCCCGCGCGGAGACCGAGTATTCGGTTTGCACGGCGGCGACGGGGGCGATTTTGACGGCGCGGCGGAGGGTCGCGGCGGAGACCATGGAGAGGCCGATGTATTTGATTTTACCCTCGCTAGGTTTTCGTTAGCTCTCGGTGTTGTAATTTTGGTAGGTAGTTAAGATTAGTAGTACTTACTCTTGAAGCTCTTTCAAGGCGAGCATGGTCTCCTCGATAGGAGTCTCAGTGTTGACGCTGTGGATATAGTCTATCGTTCCACGAGTTAGAGATGATCTCAATTGAAAGAAAGATTAAAATGTCATGTTCTCAGGGGTTGTAGAGTCTAATCGTGTCCTTAAGGAAACACTCCAGGGGCATTGAGATTGCCGGATGGGTTAAGTAGAGAGAAAGTAAGATACAACTTACAAAGGTCAATCTGGTCAACACCCAAGGCCTTCAGGCTCTTATAACAGCCCTGCTTAGTGTACTCATAAGAGCTGTTGGCCTCAAAGGTCTTGCTCCCCTTGACGATACCACACTTAGAAGCAATAAAGATCTGGTCCCGCTTTCCGGTCCTCTTGAACCATTTCCCGATGTGCTCTTCTCCATCACCGTACAGACTGTGCCATCGTTAGTTGTATACTATCTACCTACTTAAAGTTAAACATGATACACAGATCGTGACTTACTCTGCGGTATCCCAAAAGGTTTCTCCCAACTCAAGGGCGCGGTCAAGCAGCTTAAATCGCTCCTCGTCATCTAACTCCTTTCCGTAAACAGAGTAAGATGCTCCCATGAGCCCGAGACCAATAGCTGGCACCAAGGGGCCGTTCTTTCCTAGGTGACGGAGGATAGGCTTAGCAGGCATATTCGCAAATGATTGGTGACTAAAAAGTAGAAGTGTTAAAAAGTTCGAGTAAACGTCTTTGAGTCCAAAGACTATAGATTGTGTCTGTCAATTCTACTATCCAAGCGCTAGCAAGACGAGGAAAGCTCAGATATTTATATTCCGTCGCTCTCACGAAACCCATAGCGCACCACCATCCATCAGCACAAACTCACGGCCTCCTCAATGCACCGCAACCCGAAGCCCGTGTGCGGAATCCACATATGACCGTCCGAAATATCACTCCCTATACGTCTTATGTCCATTAAACCCGATAGTGAAGTGAAGCTGAAAGGTTGAGCGCGCGATCCAATATTAGCAAGGCGTTAAAGGGGGGATTCCCACATTTAGACGACCGAAGTGGGATTGACCAATCAGCGCCCAGAGTTTCCGAGCAGACCAATCGACGTCTCTGCCAGCATCCAGTCGAATGACGTACATCGAAGCCGGCCAGACAAATCGGGTATGGCGAAGCCACCTTTGGTCATACCGGCGAGCGAAATAAAGAAAACGAAGCGAGACGTGATCACCCTTACGTATTCGGATGATGCCTACGAAACTTTGGTAGTATGTAGATAATTTATTTAATAGGAGCTTCTAGAATGGCCTCTCTTCTTCCCGACTCCAAAGATCCCCTTTCCTCAATGTTCAAAGGAATAGCATGATAAAGCAAATATTTCAGAGCAGAATCCTTCCCCAACTTATGATACCACGACCAATATACGTAAAAGCTAGTCCTCCATTACCTTTGCCTCCTACTAAATCAGAAGTTAAAATGCGAGTAAAAAAGTTTTTATACTCCTATAGCAATTCAAGTTGACTAGCAGTGTCGGAAGGCGAGCTTGATTTAGGAAATGAATTCCCCCAAGTATGCAGCAAAGTAGAGAGTTTGATGGTAGGCGCGGATGACTTCATAGATGATATCGTAAAACCAGCTACCTCCCCTTCGGTATGTTAGTAGGTTCGTAGCTCTGGGACGAAATTAAGTACGCACCTAAAGTCAACAGTGCCAAATTCCTCATCGCGGAAGGGGGGAGCCCGTATGAGCCTAGTACTAGTGATGCTGCTGGGCACCAAACGTATGGCCACCATGACGAGGCGGAAGACTGCTTAAGGATCGAATTGCCGACATTAGCTGCCTCAGCAGCTGTGTCCTCTAGTGTTTCAAGAATATCATTCGTTATATTACGTGCCTGATGGAGCAGGCTCGTATGATCGTCATATTTCACTGCTAAATTTTCTGTGATATTGACAAGTCGCTGCATGCCCTGCAAGGTCATGTTAGTAATAATAAGCGCCCTAAAAGTGATATGCCTCACCTCCTCTAAATTGGCTTGCCTGGAGTCCAATTCCATCGCTTGGAGGCGCGAAAGCTCCTGTAGTACTATATTAGCATAGAACCGAGAATATCATAATAATGCGACCTACAACTTGGGTTCGTAAATGCACTGCAGAATCGGTAACTACCGCGATTGCTTGGATCGCTGTGTTAATTGCAGACTCTGCACGTTGATTGGCGAGTTGCATTGAGTGCTCGTAGGAGGATGCTACTTCAGCTTGCCCCTCAAAAACACTCTTCAATATAACCTCAAGCATTTTCTGCAGGTCAGCAGCATTCTGCGCCCCCAAATTGACTGCATCCGCGGTTTCCTAAAACCAAGTTAAAAGAGATTTCCAGCTAAGTAGGATTGACTGTACTGGGTTACCTTAACGGTGTGCATAAGTCGAGCAAGAAAGAAGTCTTCTACCGATTTTAGACTATCTTTCAAATGGTCTACTTTTGGCGAAAGTTCATCGATTATACTACCCGTAGCCTGTGCGCGAACGTCTAGATCGTTCATGCGCTGCTCAAACTGTTTGTCGATGTCATCTGTAAATCGCCCCATGATTTTTGTTAGGCGCTGAAAGAGAAGAATGTGCTGATCTAAGGGTCATAAGTCCATTAGTATAGATTCGAATTATAAGGAAACTATTTCCATACCTTTCTCATTTTCTACTCTAGCGGCTTCGCAGAACCTCAAAGCTTTATGGCGGTAACTAACCCAGGTGTTCTAGGCCGAGTCGGATTCGCCTAAGCCAGAGAGGCAGCTGTCAACTTCTATAGAAGAGACGTGTAGGTGTCCCAAACTTTGAAGTGGTAGCTGGCTTAGAATGGGTTCTCGAAAATTGGCGCATTCACTTGGGATTTGGAAGCTTCCTCTCTCCAAGTCGCAGATTGCCAGACTGGCAGCGTACGAGTCAACGAAATCTCTAATTTTACGGCCACTTTCAGTCAGAACTGATGCCTCATTCTTGCCCTCAAGAACTTCGCAATTGTTCATCAATAGGCGTGCGGCTGTCCTATGGCATAGGGGCTCAGATTCTAGTTCTCGCAGTTCCTTAAGGGTTATCTCATAGGAACTAGGTAATCGCGGTCCGGAGCTTAGGAGTTGTGATAGACCGCCACCTGTAGTAGCCGAGCCGGTAAGCACCTCCGTGTCTAATTTCTAATAAGCAAACGTGTAAGAGCAGCGATCAAGCGGCGACATACCTAATTCCACTTTTGGCACACTGCGCCATGAAAATCCATTGATCAAGTGGGCGTGTAACAGCAAGAAGATGACCGCCTTCCTCGCCGAACCCATAATTCCCCGCCGTTGGTTATTCATGGTGAATATTTTTTACCACCCAAGGAGATAGCAAGAGAATGTAATTTTGAAAGAGAAATGAAAATTTGTTGAAATGATTAAAATTCACGGTATGGGAGTAGTGAAGTCCTTCTATTGTAGAAAGTGAAGAGAGGAAGGATTGGCAGGAGGAAGGGAGGGGGTATGTCACCAATAATAGAAAAACCCTTGAATGTGTGTGTCTCTTGGGTCTTCATTCGATAAATTCGACGAAATTTCGCTCCTCAACTGCACACATCCTGTTCAATTCCTGTGTGACTTATCTGAAGTCAGACGAAGATTTGATGGAGTGGTGCAAAATATCACGATAATCAAAAGTGGACAAAGTGAAAGGTATCTCCTTTAAAGATGTAATAAGAGAGATTATTAATATTAAACTGGAACTATGAGAACTACCTAACATCCATCGATAATTTAGTCTATCAGAAAAGAGGAAGGGGCGACTATATCCAAGGCAATTACGATAGGGGAAGTTGAAAGAGGTAATTACGTCAGCCTCTATATCTGCATATCATTCATATTCTTTTATCATGTTCATTCAAGTTACACGGCACGTGATTCGACCCGATTTTTTCTAGCATTGCCAAGCATCGCGCATCGAGCTCTGCAATCCAAATTCTAGGATTTTGAGTTCTGCAGTCAGTCAATTGGCTTCACAGCGGAGACTCCCAAAATCCACAATGTTGGCGCCGAGTAGGGGAAAGGTGCTCGAAAGAGCCCTTTCAGGTACCAATGCCCCTGTTACACTACCGGCTTTCCTCGTACCGGCCTTCCAGACGGCAGCCCCGCGGCGCCAGTTCTCAAATACATCGAATAGGCCCTCGAAGCTTGGCCGAACGCCGATATCGATCCCGCCCGGTGTTGAATTAACTATTGGCGAGCCCAGGGTCAAGAAGGACCCTACTACCTACCTAAGAATACCAAAGCGGACAGTCACCATAGCGGGGCCATTAGGAAAACTCGATCTCGAAATTCCTCCTTATCTTACGATCGCCCATGACGAAGCTGCGAGGAGGGCGGTACTTAGTATTGAGAATAACGAGATCAAGCAGCAGAAAGAGATGTGGGGTATGTGCAATACTCGTTGTGGTCATTATCGCGATCATGGCAGAATGTCTTGATTTCATAAGGGCCAGTTAGGACTAATTTGGGGTCAACTAGGAACCACATGGGCATACCTCAACCGACATATCATCGGCGTATCAGAAGGACACACCGCAATCTTACGATTAGTGGGTGTTGGATATAGGGCGACCGTTGAGGAGCGACCAAGGAAGGCAGCTTACCCGGGACAGAAGTTTGTATGCCTAAAGCTTGGTTTCACACACCCCGTCGAGGAGCCAGTCCCCGACGGCATAAAAGCCAGCACGCCGCAGCCGACAAGAATTCTACTCGAGGGCATTAACCGAGAGGAGGTCATGTCTTTCGCGGCTAGGATACGGAAGTGGAGAGTGCCGGAGCCATACAAGGGGAAGGGTATCTTTGTCAACGACGAGACAATCAAGCTAAAACAGAAGAAGATCAAATAGATGATCTTGGAAATGGTATCATTCCATTGCAGGCGTGTATCTATGTACTATACGACGGCAGATACCCGATTAAACCAAAAAAACTATGTACTTGTATACATTATCCGTTATCCATGTCTGAGGTGCCGATTTTATTTCTTCGAGAGCACCTCCTGCACCACCTTTAGAACTTGCGGGTGGGCAGCAGCTGGAGCAGCGACGACACCCTTGTTGCTCGCTAGCGTTCGCCCAATACTAAAGTCCAGCGGTTTGCCGTGAATATCTGTTACGGCACCACCAGCTTCCCGGACGATGAGGTCACCCGCGGCGTGATCCCAGATCTTCTCCTGGTATGTCTCACTGACAGGTAATCGCAAGTAGATGTCACCCGCGCCTCGCGCAATAGAGGCATACTTGGCTTGGGAGTCCATCCGCACGCTAGGGTTTGTAATACCGAGCAGCTTCGCGATTTCAGCTTGGTCTCCGTGGGACGAGTGCCCGGCCTCTACGCTCTCGCAGAATGTTGCTGCCGCGATATCTGTGATTGCCCTCATAGAAATTCTCTTCTCCTTAGCCAATTCACCAGTAGTCAACGCGCGGCTTGTAGCACCTTGGCCCAGCACGCCAGAGAAAAGGACACCTCTTCCCTCGTCCGTCTGGCCGGACTCCATGCCTCCCGTTAACGTAGCAGTATCGTCGATAGGGAGATTCGGGCAACCCAAAACACCAACTTTGACGTCGCCATCCACCATTAGGGCGAGGCATACGGCGTATTGACCGCCACGTAGGAAGCCCTTGGTACCATCGATGGGGTCAATAGCCCATATACGACCCTTGGCGCCGCCCTTGCTATTTCCGTAGTCAATCATAGTCAACATGGCCTCCTCATTATCGATAGCCCCTCCAAGCAGGCTCTCGGCCTCAGGGTCAGAGAGCTGGGTGGTTGAAACCAAGTCCCAGATTGTATGCTTCAAGTTCTCGTCTTGACGCAGCTGAGCGGCTTCTTCCTCAGCGACGATTTCATCATCGGGGAAGTTGGCCTTCAGGGCACTAATAATAAGGGCCTGGGCGCCAAAATCGCCGATTGTGACAGGAGACTTGTCATCCTTGGAGACGGTACCCTTGGCCTTCTCGTGGAAGACTCTCTTAGTTAGGATGGAAGCGCGCTGGACAGCTAGCTGTGCTACTTCGAGCTCTTTGGCGTATGACGACATATTTTTATTTGATATGACAGGGCTGAGGATTTGTTGGCGGGATCCAGGAGAAAAATGCAGGGACAGCGAGGTAAGGCGGGGCAAGGCTCTGAACAAGAAGGCGGCCAGTATCACGATGAAAAAGGAGGATAGAATAAGGAACTTTGTAGAATTTATCTTTTTATCCTTTTTGGTCTGCATATAGCAATGATTTATGTAATTTATTTATAAGTGGAATATAATGGGGATTTACGTATATTCGTTGCCAGCACAATGATTTAAGGTATGTAACTTATACACAATCGTTATAGCCCCTCATGTTATCCCACTATGATGCATGGTTGTGGTTGTGTACAGCATTCAACCTCACTAATGTCGAGACCCGAGACCTTTTACAAGGTACAGCTTCTCTACCCACCATCGTTTAGCGGCTAGATTTAAGTGTCGTCCAACCCGATAGCCTCAATTCCAGTAACACCAGCCCTAAGGCATAGGGGAGTTTTAGGTGGGTATAGGCTATCGGGGTCATAGTCGGAGCCATAACCCGGTCCGTCACCCCTCCGACGACCGTGGCTTAGGTAAAGTAAATTGTACAGCAATTGGAGAATCAAAGAAAAACAACAAAGTTAGGTACGTACCTCCTTCATTACCTAACAAATAAATACATGCCTACGCATCTGGCCTCGAATTTGGCCATTCAAGTCTAAACAAACTAAATACAATCTATTGGTGGAGTCTCATACAATACTACTAATTTAATCAACCAACTTACCTACATACTATTGAAACTCCACAAAGTAAACTGTGCTTCCAAGAGCTAATCGAGGAGGGTGTAGAGTCAATCCCTTAAGAGCTTCTAAGCAAGCTCTAGAATCCTGATTTAATACTTAATACCACCCTACTAGCAGCCTTGTTCTTCATTGAACCGAATCAACCATGAATGCTACTAAGCGGAAGTTCAATGCCTTATTACAAGGGATCGGCGCGAAGCCAATACCTCAGTCGCCATCAACAGAAGCGCAAACCGATATTTCAAATTCGCCTCTGAATCGACCCTCGACCCCAAACTCGACTTCGCTACACGACAACGCCTTGACCCCGAATAAAGAGATGCCTTCCGGAAGCGTACCCTCGACCCCCAGCGATCTCCTGAAGCGCCGCCGCGTAGGTGTCCTAGAGTCTACTCCAGGGAACGAAAAACCAGGCGGGACTATTATTTCAAATGTTGTACTGAAGAAATGGGCGCCAAATGGCAATGCCGTCTCTCCGGCGAAAGGAACAAAGACTGAAGCACCGAAATATTGCCCTGGCGATCGCAACGAGCTGATCAGGCGACTTGGAACATTTCAAGAACTAACGGAATGGACTCCGAAGCCGGATAAAGTCAACGAGATCGAATGGGCCAAGAGAGGTTGGGTCTGCCAGGGAAAGGAGCGCGTGAGTTGTACGTTATGCCACAAAGAGTTGGTAGTCAAGATGAATAAAAGAGAGGTAGACGGTAAGGAGGTTCAGATCATGGTCGGCTCGGACATCGAGGAGGGCTTGGTGAAGAGGTTTGTCGAATTGATAATCGATGCGCACCAAGAAGATTGTCTATGGAGAAGACGCGGATGTGATGGTGAGTTCTCTACAACCACTACCTCGTGTTAGGGATATTGGTATACTAACCACAAACAACAGACACTCTACTCAGACTATCCCTAACGAGTCCACCAACTGCGTTAGCCTCCCTTCGCCAACGGTACGATGAACTTTGCGCGCGACAACATTTTCTTCCCTATCTCTTCAACCTCCGCTTGCCGGCAAACTTAGATTTACAAGCTGTCAAGTCGCAATTGGCTCCAAATTTCTTCAGCGACCCTCCGCCACCAAGTACGAATCCATCAGCTCCAAACGACGTAGCTCTCGCCCTTGCTCTTACAGGCTGGCAGGGCCTGACAAACCCACGTGTTGGTGCAGTGCCTAATTCGGCGACTTGTGCTACATGTCTACGTCGCTTAGGCTTGTGGATGTTCAAGAGCAAGGAGATAGACGAAGAAACAAAAGAGATCCTCGTTCCGGCACCTATGGATTACCTTGATCCTATACGTGAGCACCGGTTCTTCTGTCCCTGGCGAAATGCCGCGGTCCAGCACAACCCTGGTGCAAAGAAGGTAGACAATAAAACTGCTTGGGAAGTACTTGCGCAAACAATTAAAAATAACTCCTACCTTCGCGCGCAAGCGGAGAAGAGTACCCAGCGCTCTTTTTTCCATCGCTCCTCGGCATCCGTTCCAACAACGCCGGTGAAAGGAGGGCAAGTAGGAGATGGGCGTTCGCCCATGCTAGGATCGGATGACGAAGAGGATATGAGTGCTAGAGACGCGAAGGACAAGGAAAGATGGGCGCGCTTGAGGAAAGTGAAAAACCTGTTCGACACAAAGAACGGAGCAAAATTACGACGTTCGTTATCCCGGCCAGCAACTGCTACAAGTCGCCCAGCTACCGCGCATTCGAGGCAGGGCAGCGTCCCGCCTGAAACAGAGGGGGAGAACAAATAAGGAGACCTGTCACCACGGGTTGGATTTTGTCAAGGCGTTTATGCTGATGGATTTGGTCTAGTAAATTTTAGCAAGATACCCAACTAACTCACATCATCTTTGTTTAACTAATGTAACTATTCGATAATAATACCAATTCAAAACTCTGGTGTCCCCTTTC